AAGACTTACGTTACTTTTTCAAATAATTCTGGGGTATATAACTCTGATAGACATCCATACAAAGCAGACATGAGAGATCGTCATAGATTGTTTTGTTGCATTCAGAGTGAAATTACTTCTTTTATTTCTTTCATTTGAAGTTTGTAAACTTATTTTTTATGTGCTTTAAAAAATATTAGCTTCGGAAGCTGAATGGCTTAACTATAATTTTGTTGTCTGTTATAACCTTTTGATATTGTAAAAATGTAGTAAATTTTTGCTACGTTTTCTTATGTGCTTTTTTTTTCCGTTATAATGCTATCGTGCAGAAAATATTGTCATTTCCCAAGTTTTAATTAATAGAAATTTCAGCTGCTATAATTTGTCAGGTAAAAACTTTTGCTGCAGGATCTTTGACAGAGTTGAAAGGACAACTTATACGAAATTGTGGTTTTCTTTTAGACGTGATGGCTTTATTGATGGGAGTAGGTCATTACGTGATAATATGGTGGCTTCATGGCATGGCATTTCACCTTGTGGATGCTATTCTTTTCTTGAACCTGCGTGTAAATATTATACTTTGATTTTTAAAATTATTTCATTTACTTGTCCCATTCTTTGACCGCATATATATAATACTTGTTTGGAATCGCCCCCACCCCCCCCAAAAAAAAGGAATATCCTTTTGACTGTAAATTTCTATAAATAATTTAACAGGCTATTTTAAGTGCATTGGTTAAGCGGGTGAAAGGATTTATCAAGTTGAAGAAGGCATTAAATTCCCTAGACGGATCCCTTCCTGACGCTACAACTGAAGAGCTCTCTGAATTTAATGATGAGTGTGCAATTTGTAGAGTAAGTATTTCATCCATATATTTCCAGATTTATCTTATCGATTTCGTTCTGGATTAATTGATCTGATAAATTGTAGGGACCAATGGCCAGGGCTAAAAAGCTACCCTGCAATCATCTCTTTCATCTTGCGTGCTTAAGATCCTGGTATGTTATGTTTCTTGTGCACGTTGCTTCTTGTTAGACATCAAATATGATTTCTGAAACTCAAAAGCTTTTATTGTCTTCTGTTGTCTTTAGCTGAACTTTAAGCTAGGTTTAAATCATCCAGTTTACTATTTATTTGTGCTACTCTATTCATATTTTTTTCTTTAATGAACTGAAATGACTTAAGGAGAAGCCAGCAACACAAATGCATTCATCTGCAAGATATGATCATTTTTTTTGTGTTAATTAAATTATATAATTATAATTTGTGGTCAGCCTATCTTGGTTTACAAACATTATTTTGTTGCTCGAGTTTAGCTGAGCCATAAATGATTCAATGGCTGTTTTTTGATATAACTAGGAGTGTCAAATTTTTTTTTGCATATGTTTTTTTGGCCAAAATTGCGTTGATTTTGCATTTCGAGGTCAGAAAGTTATTACTGGTGCCAAAATCATCTGTGTAAAATGTGACCTGCTTGCTTAAATTGTGGTTGGCTTGGCTACTTCGTGGGATTGTCACTAGTTACCTCATCTTCACTTGAGTTATCTAGCTTTAGTGATGTAGG